GTATCATCACCGTATCTCATCACTGTATCATCACCGTATCTCATCACCGTACCGTGTCATCACTGTATCATCACTGTATCTCATCACTGTATCATCACAGTATCATGACCGTATCATGACCGTATCTTCACCGTATCTTCACCGTATCATCACCGTATCTCATCACTGTATCATCACCATATCATCACCGTGTCTCATCATTGTATCGTCACCGTATCATCATTGTATCATCACCGTATCATCACTGTATCTCATCACCGTATCATCACCGTATCTCATCATTGTATCCTCACCGTATCATCACTGTATCATCACCATATCATCACCGTATCATCACCGTATCGTCACTGTATCATCACTTTATCATCACCGTATAATCACCGTATCATCACTGTATCATCACAGTATCATCACTGTATCTCATCACTGTATCATCACTGTGTCATCACCGTATCATTACCGTATCTCATCACTGTATCATCACAGTATCATCACTGTATCATCACTGTATCATCACTGTGTCATCACCGTATCATTACCGTATCTCATCACTGTATCATCACAGTATCATCACTGTATCTCATCACTGTATCATCACTGTATCATATCACTGTATCATCACCGTATCTCATCACTGTATCATCACCGTATCATCACCATATAATATCACCGTATCTCATCACTGTATCATCACCGTATCATATCACTGTATCATCACTGTATCTTCACCGTATCATCACTGTATCATCACCGTATCATCACCGTATCTCATCACTGTATCATCACTGTATCATTACCGTATCTCCTCACTGTATCATCACCGTATCTTCACCGTATCTCATCACTGTGTCATCACCGTATCTTCACCGTATCTCATCACTGTATCTCATCACTGTATCATCACTGTATCATATCACTGTATCATCACCGTATCTCATCACTGTATCATCACCGTATCATCACCATATAATATCACCGTATCTCATCACTGTATCATCACCGTATCATATCACTGTATCATCACTGTATCTTCACCGTATCATCACTGTATCATCACCGTATCATCACCGTATCTCATCACTGTATCATCACCATATCATCACCATATCATCACCGTATCATCACCATATCTCATCACTGTATCATCACCATATCATCACCGTATCATATCACTGTATCATCACTGTATCTTCACCGTATCATCACAGTATCATCACCGTATCATCACCGTATCATTACCGTATCTCATCACTGTATCATCACCGTATCATCACCGTATCTCATCACTGTATCATCACTGTATCATTACCGTATCTCATCACTGTATCATCACCGTATCATCACCGTATCTCATCACTGTATCATCACTGTATCATTACCGTATCTCATCACTGAATCATCACTCTATCATCACCGTATCATCACTGTATCATCACCGTATCATCACCGTATCTCATCACTGTATCATCACTCTATCATCACCGTATCATCACCGTATCATCTTTGTATCATCACCGTATAATCACTGTATCATCACCGTATCATCACTGTATCATCACTTTCATCACCGTATCATCACTGTGTCATCACCGTATCATCACCGTATCTTCACCGTATCTCATCACTGTGTCATCACCGTATCTTCACCGTATCTCATCACTGTATCATCACTGTATCATCACCGTATCATCACTGTATCATCACCGTATCATCACCGTATAATCACTGTATCATCACCGTATCATCACCGTATC